CGGCCCCGCCCCGCCCCGCCCACGTGGTCACGGCCGCCCGGGGGTGGCCTTGTGTCTCCGGGAGGGCAGCTAGGAGCTCTCCGTCTGAGGAGATGGTCGGGCTCTCGGTGCCTGCGGAGGTCACCGTGATCCTGTTGGATATTGAAGGTACCACAACCCCGATTGCTTTCGTGAAGGTGAGGGGCGGAAGGGTGAAGGGAAGCCATCCGAGACCCGAGGCTCCGGGAGGCGGTGGGGATGGGGACGTGGGGAGGTGACGGGCGAGCTCCTCCGCGGCACCATGTTCCTTCGCCCCCGTCCCTGCTGCTGGGTGGAGGCTGACGGTGAGAAGGGATGCACGGTGTCCCCGCTCGGGAGTGGCGAGGCGGCGGACGAGACGTGGGGGCCCTCGGGGACTGAGCTTTCAAAATGCAGAGTGAGAAGCGTGGAGGCACCCACCCTGGCATCTCGGTCCTGCGGTCCTGCGGTGCAGGCTCCTCCTCGCGCTCGTGTGATCTGTGGTCCACAGCCCGGGTCTATGGAGACACTCGTAGGCTCCGTGCGCTTTCCTCAGAAAAAACTTGAAGTTTTTGTCAAAGCATTCCCTCTTGGTAACCGTCACTTGTGTGCAAGAGATTCACAAGTTTAATGCTTTGCATCATAGCGGGCTCATTTAGTTCAGTACTGTTTGTCAGAATAAATACCAAATGTTAATGTAGCTTTCTTTTTTGTTTTTTGGTACTGGGGATCAAACTCGGGACCTTGCGCTTGCAAGGCAGGCTGCGAAACTACTGAACTAAATCCCCGGCCCTAGTGTAGTTTTTTTATAAACAGTTCTTCAGACTTTATGTTATTCAATTTCCAGAGGTTTAAGAATTCACTTTAGATGCAAGTATTAGAGATGCTTGTGTAAAATAGTCGAGATAACAGTAGAATAGATTCCTATGGTCGAGGAAACTGAGCAGCCTGTTTTATTTTTTGATTTTTTGAGATAGGGTCTCACTATGTAGTTGAGACAGACCTACGAACTCACTGTGTAGCCAAGGCTGGTCTCGAATTTACAGCGATCCTCCTGTCTCAGCCTCCCAGAGTGCTGGGATTACAGGCCTGAGCCACCACGCCTGGCGCAGCCTGTTTTAAATTTTATTTTATTTTTAGAAAGTACCTCTGAAGATTTATTTTCTGGATGTAGGTTATAATACAAAATTTATACATACATTTAGGTCTCCGGATGTAACAAGTACCTAACATTTTTTAGAAGAATCATAGTACCTGACATCCTAGGAAGGATTCTGAAGAAATCTAGTTGGGCATTTTTCTGTTTTTAATCACACCAGAGACCTCTATGGAACGTTTTAGGATTGCCCAAATGCTGATAATTGCATCAAATTTCTGTTTCTTTTTGTGACAGAATAGCTGCTTTCTTGGTTTTCAGAGAAAAAAGGATTTCCAATTTTTGTGGTTTATACTTGGCCTCTCACTAGCTCCACTTACTTCCTGCTGCCATGTGGAAAACGGGTAATATAGCAGAGGTGCTGGTGTGGCGTTAGATATATGCCATTCTGGAATGCTGCTTTTGGGGAAGAGGAAATCTCATACAAATCAGTTTTGTAACAAAAACATAACACCCTCTCTCACTTTTCTCTCCTGCCCCTTTAAGAGCCACTTGTTGGAATCCTTGGGACAAACTTAACTGAAATCTGAATAAAAAAGCCCTAATGACCCAAATAGTTTTGACCCTGGACAATATGCAGTACAAAGCCGGCTGCCTGAAGAATGATTCAGAATTTTGCTTAAAGAATAGTTTCTTGTGCCCCTGTCCTACAATATCTGTTATTTATTGTTTGTTACACATGAACTTATCAAAACCAGTATTTCTAAAAGTATGTTAAGAATGTTTGATCTGTGGTAATTAAACTCAAAGATTCCATTAAACCTACCTTTAGGAAATGCTAGTCTGAACGTGTTCAGCTGGGTTTATTTACTGCATGACTTCTCAAAACCTGTACACACTTTGTGAGTCTTCAAGAGAGTGGAATTTCATATTTACAGAAACAGAAGCTTTTAGCAGAGTAACTTCAAGGACTGAGTTTCTGAACACTTTAAAAAGATAGCAGATCATATCCTTGAACTTTTAAGCATGAAACTGAAAGATACTAGTCCAAGTAGGGATGTGAGCTCGTAGCTCTGCTTCCTGTAGAATGAAGGAAGGAAACGGAGGTGTGTATACTGTCTTAATTTTACTGACTAAATCTGTGAAAAATTTGGGACTTGAACCCAAATTGTCTTACTAGAAACTCTTACTCCTCCCATTAATGCTCTCAACCTCTTTAATAGGTCTGCAGTGTTTGTCCAGGCTGCCTTGCTTGGCTGCTGTGTATGTTAAATGACACAGTTTATGTAACTGAGAGCAATCAATATGAAATACCATAAAAGTATATGAGAACAAATTTCACTTGATACTACCTCATGGTGATCCTTTTAGGTGTGGACCCTTGATGCAGAACAATTATAGACGAGTCATTCCTTACCTGTGTGTTTGGCTCTATAGTTAGAGGTGTAGTGAAAATCAGATAGGGTTGGTCAGAATTTTCTAAGTGTTGGGCTGGGGATTTAGCTCAGTGGTGCTGCCCCTACCTGGAAAAGGCAAGGTCCTGAGTTTGATCCCTGGTTACCCCCCGCCCCATTCAAAGTGCTGATAGGAAATCAGTACTCTTTGGAGACTGACTTCATTTAAGGAAATCAGGTGCAGCCAGTTTTTCCTTGAGGGTTGAAACATAGTCTTCTCTTGAGTATGGAATGAAGTAATTATTTTCGGATTAGGTGACAAAAAATAATGTCATATGTCATTAATATGTCATACATCAGCCCCATTCTGTACTACTCAGCCTGTAAGACTTTGGGGAAAGAAAGGAAGCTCTTCCTGATAACCAAACACCTTCATTGGGTGCAGTGGCAGGCAGATTGCTAGCACTGTTGTTTGTTTCCTTTCTCTCTTTTTGCTGAGCACTTAGAGTTGAATGTGTATATGATGCCACGTAAATATATAATACAGCATCAATAGTCCAGAATATCTTAGGAGATATCATACAACCTCTCTGGAAAATGGTGTTTTCTATTAGTTTGTTGCTCTATCAGGTCACACCTTTAGCCCTGAGGTTCCAGGCAACATCAAAAAGTGGTTTAGCTTGCCAGCTATCTATATCTATTTTCTTTCTTCCTTTTTTTTCTTCCCCCCTCCATACTGGGGAATCAAACTCCAGGGCCTTCACACATGCTAGGCCAAAAACTCTGCCACTGACCTATACTCCCAGCCCTTCAGTTTAATTTAATTAATTTATTTTTTTGGTATCAGGGATCGAATTTAGGACCTTGCATTTGTGAAGCAGGTGGTGGAACCACTGAGCTAAATCCCCAGCCCTAATTTAATTTAATTTAAAGCCAGAGTCTTGCTAGGTGGCCCAGACTGGCCTTGAACCTTTAATCCTCTGCCTCCTGAATAACTGGGATTTCAGGCCTGCTTCCCCAAACCTGGCGGTTACAACTTATTTTCTCAGTCATAGAATTTTCTAGAGCAGAATGGGTAGCTGGCTAGGATCATTATAATGAATGTTATGATCAACTACTCATAGGAGAAACCAGAGCCTGGAGGGTGTCCCGGGTGAGGACTGTTGGTCAAGAGCAGAATACCACCTGAACTCAGCTTTTCTTAGATGTTGCCACTGCATCTGTGTCCTCAAAGCTGCCCACTCTGTCCTGCAGAGCAGGACACGACAGGTCCTTCTGATTGTTTTTTTTTATCTATTGACATTGAGCCTTTACAGTGTTGTCTCCCAACATTCTTTTGGTCATGTACATCAACAGAATTAAAGCAGCACTGCCAGTAAAAAGTACATACACATTATTATACTATTAGTAGGTTTTAAAATAAACTGTAGTTTAAAGATGTTAAAAGTATAAAAATGGTAAGCATGATGGTGTATACCTGTATTCCCAGCATTCTGGAAGGATGAAGCAGGAAGATTGCAACCACTTAGCGAGATCCTGTGCCAAAATAAAAAAGGGCAGGGGATCTAGCATGGTACGAAGTCCCTGACTTTAATCCCCTGTGATTACTGCAGTCAGTCAATCAATTAATCAATCAGTGTTATGGTCTCTTACCCCATGGAATCATCTTGTGTGCCCTGGGGGTCTATGTACACTATGTCTTTGTGCTGGGGATGTGATATGCACTTTCTTTGTGCTTGTATTCTAATATTTTTAGTGTATAAACCATCATCAACAGCCATTAAGGTTATCCTTTTCAGTTATTTCAGAGTTTGAAGAAAATGATCTTTTATTAGGTAAAATGCTCTACATTTAATATTTTTCATGTTTCATATAGAGTGGGCTGGGGATTTAGCTCAGTGGTACTATGCCTGCCTTGCAATAGCAAGGTCCTGAGTTTAATCCCAGAACCAAAAAAAAAAAAAAAAAAAAAACCACAAAAACAAAAAAAAAAAGAACCCAGTTTACCTTGTTACATATAGAGTTAGTATGTGTTTCAACAGTTGTGATAGTTGCATTCTATAAAGTTGGTATAAGCACTGTTGTTAGTGAATACTAAATCATTGCCCCTTGTGGAGAAAAACAAGGTTAAGTTCCTGCAAGCCTCTGGTTGTATTTTCATCAACCAATCAACACATAATCTTCTTTTATGTGTGTTTCTGTTTGCCTTATTTAATATATATTATAGATTCTCTTAATATTGAATCGGCCAACTACTATACTAAAGCTTAATATATGAAATCTATCGTGTGTTTTCTGTGCAAGGCACATGACAACCTTTGAAGGACACTAGACAGCACTTCAGTTTGTTTTGGAACCATTTTTAACAGTAAAATCTACCTATGAAAACATGACACTGAGTAGATCTTGGAAAGGACACTTAGTTACATTAGGGGAGCTTAAATGGGAATTGCTTCTTCAACCTCAGCTGGAAATGTGCCCAACTTCTGATTAAAAATTTTCCCCACTAGGCCTATGTCCAAAAATGACTTTGTACGTGCCATGAGAATTTTTTTTTTTTTTTTTTTTTTTGAGACAGGGTCTCACTATGTAGTTGAGACTGACCTGGAATTCACTTTGTAGCCGGGATTGGTCTCGAACTCATAGCAATCCTCCTGCCTCAGCCTCCCAAGTGCTGGGATTATAGGCG